CAAACAAGCAAAGGAAGGAGGAAACTTGTGGCCTTTTTCGAGAATTGGGAGACCACACTAAGGGCCTTAGATACGCCACAGTTTTTCGTACCTGATGGTAAGGAGTTGAAATGGTGTCAACACTCCATTCCTAACTTGAAGAAAGCACAAAACAAACCGAAGGCTAAAAATACTCCGAATACGAAGAAATCAGGTAAGTCTGACAAAAATTCGGTAAGTAATCAGCCTAAGAAGAAGGATAAACCTACATCCTCGAAGAAAGTCCTGAAAAATAATAACCAGGAGGAGAAACACCCGAAGAATCAGAAGAAGGCAAAGAATACCTCGAAGATTAAGGGTGGTAATAAAGATAACAAGGTGGTTTTAGCAGATATTTTAACTTTATTACAGAAACTTGTTTAGCCTACGCTTTAATTAGCGGTTTTACGAATTTCAGAATTGTATTATTTTTTAGGATAGAATAGGTTTATGTGTATGCACCACAATTTCTTGGAAAGGGACTTGTCCTCTCCACTTTTTTCCCTCTCCTTTTTTTACCCAGTGTGTTCGCCTGGACTTTTATCGGACGTGGTAGTAGTGCAGGTCTTTTATTTTCAAGTAGTTCGGGTTGGCTTCCAGCTCCTCTGGAAATCGATGGTAGGCATATGTTGGGTTGTATTACTTAGGTTTTATTACTTAGGAATCATGCTCATTTGAATATCCTCCGCCGGCTTCATATAAAATAAATAAATAAATAAATAAATAGAATTCACATATTTTATTACATTTTGGATTTGTTGGTAATTGAGGCTTGAAATAGCATCTGCGCTATAAGAGACCTGGCTAATTTTCTCTAGTCCCAATGTATTGAATAATTTATATAATTTTCTAGCTCTAAGAATTTTTTTGATGCAAATTCACATCTGTTATTTCAAGTAAAAGCTGTTTGATTTCTTGATATACCATAGATGTTGCAGTTTTTTTCTTAACTCCACCAGCAATAAGGTTATCAATCCTTTTATCATATTTTTCTATAAAGTAGTACCAGTATAAAATTGCTTCTTGACCAAGCTTCTTAGCTTTCTTGAACATGCAAACTATATTTTGTGCAGTATCTGAAGATGGATCCTGTTCTTTTTCTAAAAGTTTGATCTGATGTAGTTGTATATGCAGGTGATGATAACTGTTTATATTTTTAAATAACTTCATCATGCTGATCGGATTTAAGTTCCTCCATGTCACATGACTCCAATCGTGAAGAATCTTCACGGGTTTCAAGATTACATGTTAATTTGGATGCATTAACTTGTGGTTGTTTTGATAAGACGCAAGATGCAGATCTTATGCTCTCAGAACTAGCCTTATAAGATTGTGATCAGTCTTGCTTGTCTTGCTCTGAAATTAATATGTCCATAACCTCAGGAATTTTAGTCACATCCTGAAAAATTACAAGCGCCTTTTGATCTCTCTGTTTCTTTTCCTGCCTCCTTATTGCTAATGCTTTTCTTATACACATCATCCAAGAAATTGACCATTTCCTCATTACCATCAAGGTCACTAGCTTCATTGTTGAGTTGGTCTATTATAGAATCAGGTACATCAACAGTTGGTAACATCACCACTGGCATCACTTCTTCACCGTTTTGTGTCTGACCAAATGGAAACGCTGTTCTAATAATGCAAGTCTCGCCTCAAGCTCTCTGACTCTAGACTTGAGTTCAGCATTCTCAGCATTACGCCTTGCATTCTCTTCAATAATTTGCTTCAGCCCCACATTCTCAGCCTCAACCTTAGCAAATCTTAGTAACTTCTCAGAATCTCAGCATTCTCCTTCCTAAGCTCAGCAATCTCAGCCAAGAGCTTGGCATTTAATTCTCTCAATGAATCAATGGATTGCATGTTTGATAATAATTTTTTATATAAGATGGAATGATTCAAAAGTTTGGTAGCATAGATAAAGAAATGAGGTAATATCCTCATCAGAATTATTGATTTATTGATACAGAAAATAAATTACATGATGTTTACAAAGTGACATGGTGTTATGTCTTGTTATCTATATACTAGATTAACAATATTGACCTTTGATTAATACTAATACCATTTGAGTGATGTAATAATTACTACCCATGACTAATTGTACAATCGTTTATTACTAATTTGGAAAAGCACTGGATCAAGTGATGTAATATTTACTATATATATTAGCCATTATACACATTTGTGTTATGCAAACATCTCTTTTTAAGCACATAGAAGGAGCCATCCATCTTATTAAGGACGTTTGATACATCGGATGAGGCAAGGTTTCTCCCTTTCAAAGGAAAGTAAGCTAAATTAGCAAAGATTATTTTTTTCAGGTATGGAGTTATATAAAAAGCTTGTCAAAGAGAAACAAGCATCAAAGTTTTTATACAAAATGTTTCTGAAGCCATGCCAGTATATTTATGAGTATATTATTGTTTTTTTTTCAAATAACTATTGACTAAAATTTCCGTACAATACTCCAAAAAGATCAAACCGGAGAAACAGCAATATTTACAAATACTGGACGGCCTATGTATTTTTTACTCGATAAACATAGGTTAAGTTCTGAGAAAACTCAAGAAATAAACAACCTATCTATTCGAACATCTAAAACAACTATCAGCTTGGATAATGCTGTTGGAGAAAAATCCTACATACCTTCCAACAGCATTAACAATTTCTTGAAAGAGAGACCGTCAGAGGGCAAAGAAGATTGCATTTGGAACGTCATTGATAGGTCCCCCAAAAATCAAACTAAAGATGCTGAATTTTCAACAAGATTTCAACTTAAAGAACTAGTGCATGTTCCCTCAGGACGAGAATGGGAATCTGTTAACGAAAGCAAATCACTGGGATTACGGCACCTGATCCGAGACAAATCCGTGGTTCCAGTTATCCTTGTGGAGGCAAGACCTTTCAATAAAGACACGCACAATTTCAACAGTAACAAAACAAACAATGGAACCATGCCCCAATTGTCAAGCGATTGTGGATTACAATGTGAAAAAGATTTGCCTGAACTTCTTTTTTCATTGAAAGATAAATATTCATTTCGTGATGAAATGAACAAAAATATTCTGTATGATGATGAGATTAAGAGATTTGCCAAACTTTATTGTATTACCAATTTTTGCCCTGTGCTTTCATGTCATGATTCAATTTTCTGGTTAAAAGACCCTGATGGTGTTATCTACATATGGTCTCGTATAGATGGTATGATGATACGTGGAGGATGTGATATGAAGGAGGCTCTGTCAAACTTTCTTTTTCATGAGGAAAATCTTTACTACATTGAAGATTACACTCTTGAATTGATACCAGTGAAAAAAGCTAAAGAAGAAGCCAAAAAATGGTGTGAAGAGAATAAAAATACTACAACTAAATTTGTGATAACTGATGAATTACTAAAACCATTAGAAAAAAAAAAGGAAGGATCCAATAAAAGTGGGAAACAAAAGAAGTAACAAAGAAGAAAAAATAAACAATTTGATTTATTTACCATTTATTTTTAGTCATATATAATGTTTGTTTTTATATTTAGCTTAATTAATTCTTTTATAGCTGATTGCAAAATTGTAAGACCATCCTATGATTTTTTAATTTGAAAATTTGATATTTTGAATTTTTCAAAAACCAGTAAAAAATCAAGTTAAAAACCTGTTTATTCAACTCCTTAAATAAAAATAGAAAATAAATTACTTTAAAATCTTCATTAATTTTAAGGAGTTAAAGTTATTACCAAAATAGGTGCTTTTTTATTAATTCTTGAAAAATTTAAATTATCAAATTTTCAAATTGAAAATCATAGAATAGTCTTACAATTTTGCAATTAGTTGTAATTAATATAATGTAAATAAAGATATATGCGAATATTGCAAAAATTTTATGTAATATAAGATATTAGAAGTGATTCTTTTGCAATTAAGAAAAATTAAGTGAAATATATATATATGTATATGACATGCTTTCAAGCATAAGCACGAGATTTCTCATACACCAGATTTCTGGAGTTAGCAAGAGTATCACCCTGCATTGTAATCGAAAGATTCATTTCTCAGTGCATTATAGTGATATGTAATAAATTAATTTTTTTATATATCACGCCTGATTTTTACTTCCAATATCATTGTCACAAGGTGCAATTGTGAAGTTTCTTTATGATCAAAAATTACGAGTATTCAGGTCCAAATTATCCCATTAGTCTATTACCTCGCAAGATTGCTCAATTACATAAATACAAAAATGCAAATATAAAAGTTCCAATTTGGAATGCAGATCACTTTTGCCAAGAAAAATTTTTTATCAATACATGCAAAAAATAAATACAAATATTCGGGACGTAGTTCAGGATACATAACAAAGTTTCTATGCTTCTGATGGCAGACTATTATTCTTTTTCGAAATATCCTTTAACCCGTTGCTTCTTCATCACCGGCTCCTTCTCTACATCTACCTATTCTTTAATCATCCTCATTACTCGCTTCACATTCTTATGCAACTCTTTTTCTTCCTCTGAACCTTCTTTCAATGCAGACTTGCTGAACCATATATTGAGTGTATTTTTACTCGTATATGAAATACCATCTGAGGCAAACAAAATAAAATACCATTCTGTGGCTGTTGTAACAATCTTATAGATATAGTTGTAATCATCTCCAAATGCTTCGCCCGACTTATGTTTTTTCTTATTTTTATTCACCTGTAGTGCACTTTTGCATTGGATCAAATTCTGAGCAAAACTCATAACCACTTGATGTAGCTTCCCTTCCATGATGCAAATAAGTTTTTTGAGGCATTGATTGCATAATCAATTCAACTAGTACCTTCTTTGCAAGGTAAGCTTTTTTTTGGTTATTATTTTGACGATATAGAGCAAAGCGTGAAGGATGGCTAAAATATACTCGCAATGCATGGCAGTCTCATAGCAGGGCCACATTTTAAACCATAACTACAAATTTTTCTTTGGTCATATCAAGAATTTCTTGGCCAGTAATCTTTTGTTGCAGAGTATTCCCAAGTCATCATCATCAAGCTTGAGGTTCTGCTCTTTCAAATAATCGATAAAGGTCTCTGTATTCCAGTTCTCAACCAAGTAAGAGTCATGTTCAGCTGTTGAGGTAGACATAGTGCTTTTATATGATTATTAGGGCTCAGATAAAATTCTGGGATGGAAAAAACAAGCGCTAATATATGTTTTTATGTCATACAGGATAATACTTTATTTATGAAATAAATTGTTGCCAAAAGCCAGCCTAAAATACATAAAAATTGCAACTATAGCGCTACATGATACAGAAGATTATTCTAACCAGGGGTATACAGTGATATGGAAGTGCTCTGCTTTAGGCTTCTCAATAGAAGTAAAAATTTCATTAAACATATCATACCCATCCATTTCCTTTACAATACCGCTTCTGGCTTGAATTATACAAAATTTGAGAGGGATTTTATTAAATGGTGCTCTCGAGTTCTCTATAAGTACTAGCTTTATAAATTGTAATCGATTGTATTACTTTACAGCAGATTGCAAAATTGTAAGACCACCCTATGATTTTTTAATTTGAAAATTTGATATTTTGAATTTTTCAAAAACCAGTAAAAAATCAAGTTAAAAACCTATTTATTCAACTCCTTAAATAAAAATAGAAATATATCATATGATTCAATATAAATAAATTACTTTAAAATCTATATTAATTTTAAGGAGTTAAAGTTATTACCAAAATAGGTATTTAAACTTGCTTTTTTACTAATTCTTGAAAAATTCAAAATATCAAATTTTCAAATTGAAAATCATAGGGTGGTCTTACAATTTTGCAATCTGCTGTAATGCATGGAATATTCATAAGTTTTCCTATAGGAACGATAAGACAATTGAGAGTGATTTCGGTCATTTTGTTTTCCTAAATACAAGATCCATAGTGAGAAAATGCCTTGGCCCACTCACATATACTGTACATACTTATTTTGCACACAACTGCTACTATATCAGAATTTAATAAAAATTCATACAGAAACTCTATAATTAGAAATACTGGACTTCAAGATATTGTAATCTCAGGTGATAACTTTGATACAGAAATTCATAATAAAGATTATAGATATGAACAACTAATGGCTGGCTTTATGACATCTGATATAAATGAAACACAACTTCCAATATCATTTTCTGATAGTTCATTAGAAGCTTTAATCAATTAAATATATAATACAAAATTGATACATATGGAAATTATATAAAACTTGCAATTATGTATCCAGATTCACACATTGGTATTGGCTTAAAAAATATAGGAACTACAAAATAAAACAAGATTAATAAGACAAAGAAATACTGACAACTATATGCTTCCTACATCAGCAAATTTAATCAGGCATAATATTACGTAAGTTTACAATATCCATAAATTTACAGAGTATTACGATGTAAACATACATAAATTTATGGGTATTGTAAACTTCCAGAATATTATACAGTGCATACAACCTAGTCCTAACAAAAGAATTTTTAAGCGGCCAAATTTTTTACATTATGTAATACTTAATCCTGTAATTTTATTGGTCAGATTTATTTAATTTAAGTTATAATTCTTAATTCTAGTCAAATTTATATAGTTAATAATTAAACGAAAGTAATTTTGTCCAGATTTACATGTAATTCTGGTCAGAATAAAATGGCCAAATAATTAATTTAATAGTAAAATATTCCAACTTTGAATTGTTACTACTTTATTAAAAAATACTTTATAGGAAATTTAAAAACATAGTTTTATTAAACTTAATCTGGTTTATCATTGTATGTTTATACTTTATGTTTATCTTTTTTTTTGAATGAATAGTAGTAATTTAAATTTCATCAAATTTAATTGCTAATACTAAGTTGTATGCACTGTAGCATATATATTTCTTTATTGTATTTACTTTCTAAACAACAATATACCCAAACAATATTTAATATACTATTAATGTTGTCAATATAATATATGTACTTTTTTTCTTATAAAATTGTAAAATGTATGTATTATTTAACTAGTGTTTAAGCCTTTTTTTGCCAGGCATTGCCTATTGCAATACCTGTTCCTGTGCACAAACTAGTTTTTATATGTATTATCTAACATTTATGATCTTTATATTATTTTTTGTAATCAAAAATCTAATATTTCTTGAAAAAAAAATCCTATTTTACTTTTTTTTTTTATTATTTTACATTTTTTAAATTCTTTGATCTTTATATTTTTGTAGAATTTTGGTTTATAAGCTTTGCAACCTATTAAGAACAATCCTTTTATGCAGTATTAAAAAATCAAGAATAATTAGATTAAGTAATATATATATTTTATTGTTATTCTTTATTGTTATTCTTTACATTGTCATTAGGTAATTTATTGAACATATAATTGAATAAAGTATATAATTGAACAGATAATAATATATTTATTGAAGAACTTTGTTCTATATTTATGAAATTAAATTTTAATTATTTTATTTTTGATTTTTTTTTGATACTATAACCTGTGGTTGTTAAACAAAATTAAACTTATAGCTTAATTTATCCATATTTAATTAAATTTATTCATGTTTAATTAACTTTAGACCATATTACTAAGAATCAGTTTTATATTATGGAGAAAATGCTTAGGAATGGAATGGTCATAGACCCCAGAAAAGGGAACTATAGAGTATGCATTAAGTGAATGTAGATGGGGAAGAGATTCTTGAAGGATTCAACTGGGAGTTGAATGAATTGGACTCAACAGGAGTAAAACTGTAAATCATATGTCATTAAAATATGTAGTTTTTCCATAATTATGTCTCCAAACTAATAATCCAGTAATTTTCTCATCATGCATTCTCAAATCTCAACAAAGATTGATGACTGTGTAACTTAGCAACTTATTTACCAAGTTCTTTTAGTACTGTCTTTATAAGTTTTTTAAGTTTTTGTAAAAGTTTTGGTATTGTTATATTTTTCAGTAGGTAACATACACAAATTGAAATGCTAAAAATCGGCAAAAAAAATGGCACGACAAGCAGTGGTTATTCTTGCTATTCTTGGCTATTCTTAGCTGTTTTTGGCTATTTGTGAATTAACATACAAATTTGCAAATAGTTTATGCAATTTGCGCCATTTTTTTGCCTGTTTTTGGTTATTTGACATGTGATACAAGTAAGTTCAACCTTCTGAAGAGCAATATGTAGTATTTCAAAAAAGTTCTTTTCGTTAATATTGCATTTGGTGACCTTGTCGTTCATGTGAAACATTTTTAAGCTATAAAATTAAAAATTTTAAATTATTTTTCTGTAAAAAAAATGGTCATAATGATCATTAGAAAGAGTTTTTCCTTCCCTTTTCTTAATAATTATTTATATTTAATTTATTATTTTTATTGATTATTATTTTATTTATAATCTATTATAAATTATAAAAATTGACAGTTTAATTTATATAAATTATTTATTTTTT